CCCTCCCCGGGCCGCTGCCGCAGCCGCGTTCCTGCCTTCCCTCCTCCTCCCTTCCTTCCCTGGCCGGGGTGACAGGGCTGCGTTAAGGCCGAGCGCCCTGAAAGCTGAGCGAGGTGCTTGTGCTTGTCCCTGAGCGCCCCCCTCTCGCCACGGGTGGGTTTTGGCAGAAGCTCTTGGGTGGGAGAGCTTTGCCGCGGTGCCGGGTGGGTGCCGCACTTGCAGGTCTCGAAGCACCGCGTGTCCTGCTCAGCTAGAAATCTTTGTAAAAGGCCATCAGTTATTCAAGCCCAAGCCTTACCTTCTTTTTTTTTTTTTTAAATAACATTTGAAGTCATGCAGGCAAGAGGAAGCATTCTCACCATTTGAGAAAAAAAAACGGAAAGAGTTTTCTGTAGCTCTTTAAACCCAAACCTGGCAATGGTAGATGGGTCTTGGCTCGCTCATTTCTGTAGTTGAAATAAAGGCTCAGCAAGGGGATATCGGAAACCTAGCTGAGCTGTTGCTGTTGAACTTTTCATGTGTCTGTCAGTCAAAGGTGGTGTTAGTTGGACACCTGCTTTACAACATGCTGCTTGGCTGAGCCGCTGATTTTTGAATATACCGAATGCGTTCAGCCTGTTGAAACTTGGTCTCGGGACCTTAAATTAAGAGCCCTGGAAAAGTTCATTGTATGTCCTTTAGAAACGATGGGGTGAGGCTGCTTCATCATCCCCCCCTCGCCCTTTTAGTGTTCTGCGTAGGTCAAAAGTTAATTACAAGTGTCTTTGTCAAGTGCGAGAAGCAGTTTTCCCAGGCCCGTGTATTCTGCTCCTTGCTGCTTTGCTTTAAAGCAGTTTCCCAAGAAGGATTCAAGCAGTGTTGTTACAGAGGGGGTGTGCACTACTCAGTGTGTTTCGAGACAATGTCTGAATCTTGTTCCTGCAACAACAGATTCAAACTGGGGTTTTCTCGTCTGCTGTATGTTAAACAGAATGAGCACCTTGGTGAGCTGTGAGTTTCGTCCCCATCTTCCTTGGTGCTAAAATTTGCTAATCTATATAAAACAATTTATTGCAAAGAGGTCTGTTGGCTATACTGGTATATCAAACCGACCGTATTAGTATTTCTAGAAAAAAAAGTTAAGTGATGTACCAGCTACTGTACGTGTCTTGGAAGAGGCCAGGCTTAAATTTCACCAAAAAAAACCCCCGGCAACTAATACTGTTCTGTGAACAATGGTAGGTTTTGTTAGGCTCGTTCATTCTCCTTCTCTCTCTCACCTTCTACACAGGGCAAAAGTATTTGTCGCTGACTGCTTTATTTCTTTCCAGGTACTAGTGAACACTGCCTGCTGTTTTCTGATGTTGGTTGCGAAGCTAATCCAGTGTATGGTGTTCGGTCCTCTTCGTGTCAGTGAGAGGCAGGTAAGACAGCAGTGCGTTGCCTTGGATATTGTCGTGTTTCATAATTTCTTGGTGTACGACTGGTGTGGCTTTTTATACGGAATTGCTGAAAGTACACAAAAAAAGTAAATTTTAGAACAAGGTAAACTTAAATCTTACCATTTGGTTAGCTGGTATATCCACAGCCACAAGCTTCCAGTTTGTTTCTGAAGGGAACTCTTCGTTTTCACGGTTCCTATTCTATTTTATAAGCCCATGGTCAACTTGAAAATCCTGCTTCCTTAATGAATTTGTCAGATTTCTTACAAGTGCACCTCATTTCAGAATACGTACAACATGTGGTGTTCTCTATTCAGTTTGCGCTTGGCAGCATTTCTCCGTTGCGTTTCGTAGTCAGTTATCAGCGCTGGCACTCTTGAGTTCCCTTTCGTACCTTGTTTTGTGCCTTGACTGCTGGAGAAGTGCTTTCCATCCTCCTACGCCGAGCGGATGGTTTATCTGCCCTCGGGTTTAAGAGGGAGTCGGCAGGCATACGCCCAGAGAAAGGAGGTAAGCAGGGCTGAAAACTCAGGCTGTTTAGTCCTGCTCTTGGATGTTTTTAAAACGTTTTTTAAAATTCAGCAAGGGACCCATTAAAGCCCAGGCTTTTTAAAAACAGGATCCTGCAGAAGGTAAAAGCAGCAGCAGTAGTT